AAGTCAATTAAGATGAAAACAAACTCCTTTGCAAGATGCCATAAATCATAAAAAGACACAATCAGTAAATCACTTTACAAATCAGCTGTAAATGCTGCACCAGAGACATATAAGAAACTCTTTTCCAAGTACCAATATCAAATCTCTAGAGTTTTAAATTTTTCCATGGTGTGACAGTAAGAAAATTGCATGACTGTGCTAAAAGCAAGAAATTTTAGTAAATTATTTTAATACATGATGTAGGAATATTACAACCCAGGTGACAACCACTACTTAATGTAGTCTGTTTTTCCAACTTCGTTTATATACAGATATCATAATTTGAATTGAGGGAATGGGACCAGGCAAACGCCTTCAATATGTTTTTAAGTGTTCTTTTACTAAGTCGGAACAGTCTTTGTAAAACGGAAGAAGGCATTTCTTTGGACCATTTTACTTTAAGAAATAAAGAAGTTTGCAGCATGTTACTGCGAGGGACATTCATAGCCAACAGTTTAATGCGCAATGCTTATTTTCATGAAGTAAGCTTTTCATTGGCTTTGAAGTTATCACAGATCATGTGGGCTGAAGTCATACCTTACAACACAGTCTGACCTCTGCTTGACTTTAAAATAGGATAACCACCCTCAACTATGTACGAACTCTGAACATTAATCAAAAACACTTTTATTGCATCAACAATGTATTAATAGTCTTATATTAATAGTAATGCTACCTTCCTGACTTTACAAAGTCATAAGATAGCAAGAAATGTAGTCAGATTTATTATTATTACACCACTCATTTTATTTTAGTTGCCTTATGACACAGGAGGAAAACCAATCTAAGAGCACATGGTGCAAAGAGAAAAACATAGAAAAACAAACTAACATATATGCACAAGTACCCTGGCATAGAAAATATTACCAAATCAAGTGAGAAGAAAAAAGACATTTTTAAACAGCGTGAATCTCTTTACATCCACAACTTAATCTTTTAACCACAAATTATTACTGAGACAAGGAACTGCTGGACAAATGCATTAAAAAGTAACGGTTATAATACCATTCCTCACAGGTAGCAACTTAAGGTATTTTTATGCCAAAGATATTTCCTTCTCTAGTAAAGATTTACACATTGAGCAAAAATTATAGCTCAGGATTTAAAATCAAACTGAATCAAATTTCCCCAGCCCCGACTCATTTCAGTTCAAAACACCTGCTTTAGAATCCCTGCAGCGTTTTTCTTATTCTATTGTCAACTTCATTGCTGTTATCCCCATTACAAAACAGTTGACACTTAAAACAAAGAACAAGCAAAAAGTACAATATTCTTTAACTGACATTTACTGCACTGGCCTTGGACTTCTAATCTCTACCAGACGGGCACACAAATCAATCCATCAGCTCATAAAGGTGTGCTTTTTTAACCTCTAAAACAGATGGGATTGGCTAGAAATGTCTGGCATGTCAAACTGCTAATCACTGTTGCCCTTTGCACAAAATAACCCACTTAAGTTGAGGCATGGTTGCACTGTAACCAACATTAGTCTGTGGGAAACCCATTTAACTGTCACATACTCCTGCCACTCCTGCTCTCCCTTAATTAAGCCTAATGCCTTATGCTTTGACCTTTTGTTCTAGCCTATTAACCCTATCTAGTACAAGTTCAAATATGTTAAACTAAAAACTTTGCTGTAAAATATTAAGTGCCAAGCCGCAGAGAGCATGAGGGCCATTTTTTGAACCCACAGATTACAGACTTCCCACAACTGAATTCATTTGGCTGGCAAAATGGCAATATCATGAGCGATACTTCCTACAGGACACCATAACTATTAACTAAAGCCACAAGCCAGTCTTCCCAGTAAAATATTCTCTTTCACTTCTGTTATATACAGTATACTCCAAACAAGAAAAAAGGCTTCCCCCCCCTGAAACAAGTGAAGTATTTGCTCTTTTCTTAAAACATCACATCCTCCCTCAGGCCTCAGGAAAACATTCTTTGTTAAATAAAGATACATACATATACCATTAGTCAGACCTAGAACACGGTCGTTTTTATGTAGCAAGGTCAGTTTTTCCTCAATGAGGGCCAAATTCTGACACCCTCGCTCACTTTCAGTAGCCTCACAGACATCAGCTGGGCTTCTTGCATTTTAAGACACTACTTGCACCAAGTGGTGGCAACTGGCTTCAAACACTTCACTTGTATTACGGTGTTCTCAAACTCCTCAGCTTTATAATCCCCCTTTCCATATTAGAGCCATGTAGAAATCTCCATTCCATTTAGCTGGGATCTGTCTTGTACACGCTCACAAATAGCAACATGGTTCCCTTATCTAACATCATATGGGAATTCTTGCTAAGAGGGATAAATCTATGTAGAACCATACCTTCTCCCTATCATACCCAAATTTATTTTTACTTCAGAATTCAAAAGATGCAAATGTTTGGCTTAAAACACACACCCCGCCCCCGAAAGTAAATGCTCAGGACTGCTCGAAGTATAATCATGATTTCTGCAATTTCCTGGATTTCACCTATGACTCAAGAAATACTGTATTTTTTTTTAACCTTTGGGAAGATTTGTGTAGAAGTGTTAGACTTAAAGAAGCTATAAGCTCAATGACAAGATTAACATCTTTAACTGAATCCTGGAGACTCCTTTTTTAACCTGCAAACAGTTACATTTACAAAGCAAGAACTTTATGGAAAGAGTCTAGAACGTAGACTTAAAACTTCCAGTGACAAAAACAAAAAAGACAAAACACCTTCTAACACAAGGTGAAGCACAGAATGAAATGCAACTGGTATGAATGGCATGCAATACAAATTTAAGAGAGAAAGATAGGCATAGTAAATGAATACTTAAAAAGCATAAGCCAGACTGTTTGTGCTACAAAAACAGTACTTGGATGACCTACTCTATATGTTTGTATTGTGCTGGAGGGGCAGAGAAAAACAATTTATAACATCCATGTTATACAAGTTAAGGTATTTTCTTAAGTTTATAACATAGCTAGCTTTTTTGACAAGCTAAGATACTTTATGTAGGATATTTATTTATTATTTCACACTGCCAGATGTCAGCCAGGAAATACAGCTCCCTGTCTAGATAGATAGATATTATATCTCATAATATAATATTCTCTCTCTCCACACAATCTCACATTATAAACACACACACTAGATAGACAGATATAAAATATATGTGTACGTGTATAATGTGAGATTTTATATATGTATGCAATTAATCTCATACACACACACATACGTATGTATGTATACATACGCATATACACACGCCCCTCATAAAAACAGGCAAGTACAGATCTCTAAACAAACACCTTAAACAAACAGTATCACATCACAAAAATTGATTACACCTTAAACCGCTTGTTTCCACAAAAGCCACTGGTTCTATTAAGCACAACACCGCATCAGGAACAGAATTACCATCTGCTACTGACCACAGTAATTCAATTCAAAAGTTTAAAATGGCCAATTAAACCCATGAATTTTAATTGTAATTTTTATAACTTGCTCCTTTTGACATCAGCAAAAAAAAATCATAAATAACTTTGCCTTAATCTTGATTGCTAAGATTAATAAGAAATACCGCAGTGCACCCAAAATGATTCTCCAAGTTCTTCTGTATAGTCAGAAGCAACAATCTCTAGCATCAGACTAATGTAGGCACTCTTCCCTGGTTCCCTTTGCTGGGTACATCCACATCAAGTATGTTGTTCTGTTCACCTTAAGCCTCTAATTCTTATTCATGCCAAGTCCCACTGAGTGCAGGGGGACTGGACTTTAAGAGAGTAGTTATCTACAAACTTAAATGGTCGTCTCTGCATGACTGAAAGCAACAATCAAGAGACATCTACGGGGATTATCTTTAAATATCAAAAGGCAATCCAATTTGGGAAATGAGGACAAAACTAGCAGATCCAACCAAATTGGAAGTTTTACCCAATGTGTGCAAACCCTTGTAATATGGTACCCAGAAGCCATACTGATATCAGACACATTTTAAAATGCTCACGGGCTTGGTTTGGGCTGATTTTCTATAAGTGATGCCTTTAAACGTCTACATTTATATTTTCTGTCTTCTTTCACTTCTACACTGCATCAAAACAAGGTCCTTCTCTATACAGGAATAACCACCCAAAACAAGTGTTGCAGTGTAGGCCTTGACATAACCAACACCATTTTGAAGACTTGACATAACTGATGCCATTAGCTGGATATGGGGGAAGCATATAGCAGCTTGAGGGGGTGACCCATTTAGCTGACCTACTTAAATGACCTACTGAGATCACCTACTTGGCAATAAGAATGATATACCCAGCAATAAGAAAGTTGAGAGAGAGACTGTGAATAACGAAGTAACAGGGATAGTTACTATGAAGGGGTGATTGGTAGGAGCCTGTGATATCCTGTGGAAGCTTGTCAATCATGGAAGGAAAAAAAAAACAATCCCCCCACCACAACCTGTAAGGATGTATAAATAGCCAGAGAATAAGCTTAATACTTGGGAAGCCGAAGAAGCAAGCAACACCCAGCTGCTGCGACTATGATCCCCAGTGCCATGTCAATGACTGGCCAGCTAAGCCATCGCATTGTTCGGAAGGCCTACGTAAGGATACCTTTGTAAATTGTTCAGATTTTTATTTTGGTATTACGTAAGCATTTAATAAATTTTGGATCCGAGTCTGGAATCACCTCAACAATCATTTTACTCCATCCATGCCACCCCTCAATCAAAATTAAGTACAACAGAAAAACTTCAGAGATCACTGTTACCCAAAATTCATGATCTCTCACACAAAGAGTTAAAACCTTTTCTCCATTTCTTGCTTTGGTTGAATTTTAAATTTTAAAATGATCATCCTAAAATGAACCATATAATTCCAAGACTAAAGGTTTAGGATAGTAGGTTGTGCAACAAACCTTACTACAAAAAAAAGGGGAAAGACAAGGCATTCTCCGGGTAGTTCATCTAAACAAACTATTTACCTTGACAGTGGTCCCATCTGGAAGGCCTTTTCTTCAGCAGTTTTCAGGAATCCACAGATGCATTAGTTTTCCTAAGCAATTCCATGCTTGATCTGTAAAACAACAGCCACCTATGAATATCTGCATAACAGTCTCTCCAAATGCTGACTTGCCTGTTTATTAATAGGCAGTTAACATTCAAAATAAAACCTAAAACTGACAAATAATGTACGATCTAGGTCAAGACAATAAATGTAATTTTCATTCAAAGAGATTAAGACATTAAATACAGACTAAATTTATTGTCCAGCTACACAGACTATTTAAGATCAAAATTACAACAACTATGTACAATGTTGTACTCATATACAACCCAATTAAAAAAAAAGCTGGTGGGGAGAGGTTTAAAGAGTAGACATAAAATTCCTCCTACTGCATAATGATTACTACTTAACATTTAAGTTTCACATCCATGTCATGCTTTTTTAAAAGGCTCTTATTAAAATTAATATAGCAACAATGGAAAAAAAATCAAGCCATTGCAAAACCTTTTAACTGATATATGTAGCACCCTATGTCCCAAGAACTCCAGAGGTTGGGGAGAAGAGGGAAAAAGCTAGCATACCGATTTTGGTTTCAAGCAATCTGTTTGTTTAAAAGCTAAGTTAATCGGCAGGCATATTGCATATTTAAAACATCATCATTATCCATCATTATGATACCCCCACCACCATATGGCAGAAATATGCAGCAAGGAGTGCCTCAGCTGATCTCAGCTTCCCAATGAGTAAAAGGTGAAAAGTATGCTCTAATTAGGGGTTAAAGTAAGAATAGAGTAGAGGAACTTCCTCCTCAGCTCTGCATGGCTGAAAAGCATTCCCATTCTCCTCCATGCCAGGAATGGGGAAAAGTTCCTTTCATGTTTTAATTAACATTAACTACTGCTTTCAGATAACCACATCTGAAGATTTTAAAATATTGTCACCAGCATCAGCAAACGGAAAGACTGAACCACGTCCTACGCCTGTAGCAGTTCTCCCTTTGGCAGAACAGCTTGGCTAAAAGAAAGTTTTCATGTGAACTTCTAGTTCTTAGGAGTGCTGCAATGCACTATCCAACTGAGAAGGAGGAAGATGCAAATGTCTGCTGAAAGGTTCGGGGTCTAGAGGAGGAGATGTCAGCCTCTACACCAGAAACAGATAGTGGAATGCACTCTGGACCACTGTCACAAACCAAGAATCTAGAAACAACAATAAGTTCATTAGGACTATTCAGATGAAAACCTGACAAAAAAAGCAGGCAAATAGCCTTAAATAATGTATAAGAGACGATTTCAAATTACTCTCCTAAATATTTCTAAAAATGAGGAAGAAAAATATGATCTGGCTTCACTGAACAGGAGCAAGTTTTCATTCCCTTTAATAAGAAAGAGAAAGATTAGGTTATATCACCACGGTCAAAGTAAATGTAGCTTGAACTGCCATAACTTAGTGAAGAACAGGTTCTGAGATCTTTTTCCTTCAATTTCACTTACAGATCAAGTTGCCCTGATGAAGAACCTAACTTTAACAAAACACTACAAGCTTTATTCAAGATCAGACTTATGATCCACAAGTAAAGAGAACAGGTAGGACGAAGGGAAGCAGAAATCTACTTTTTGAAAAGTACAATCATCTTCTAGGTTTCCTTCAGAAATGTTTGTTTCCCCCCTACTATAAGTTTGTGCAGTGCTTTCTTTTCAGATGTTAACATCTTTTCATCATAAGTTTCCCACATATTGAAAACAAGAAGTACCAAGAGAAGCAAGCTTTACAAAAAACAAAAGCAAAAAAAACCAAAAAAACAAACTCAGGAAAAAAATGTTCTCAACCACAGCATTATAATATCCAGGCAGAATTTCCTTGATCCAACTTTAAATGATTGGGGTGGTGGGAAGGGGGGCGGGGGTTGTGACAATAGAAAGTGCAAGAGCAAGTGTAAAAAAAAAAAATTGCTTTGCTTTTTCTGGAAACAAATTAGTGGAACTACTTAAAAAACAGTTTATAGGGGGGAGGGGATGGGAGGGAGAAGGAAAGAAGTCATTCTTAGTTCCAGAACTATTTGCTTTAGCATATAAAATGCCGTATAGCAAAAACTGTAGTTTCTCTAAGACTACTAAACTGAATGTGTTGGATATGATGGAAACCTAAAAGTAAATAAATACTGTATGGTACCATGACCAATCTGAATAGGACAAGCTCTTGGGATAAGAAAGATAATACGTTTCTCTCTCTGAAAGAGAGCCCACTTATTCACTTGAATATGATTGTTTCAACGTCCAAAACCTTCAAATTGTAATCAGAAGAGAAAAAGTCAGTATCTACAAATCCCAACGTTCATCTCGAAAACACAAATAGCATCAGAGAGCCACAGTATCAATCAGTTGTCGAAAGGAACTAAAAGTTGTGTGCGCTTCCTGAGCCACAGTTTCCGAGTCAATTCAAAATCCAAAACTTTCCCATATTTGTTAAAAAAATTACTGCAAACCAGTTTTGAAAATGCATTTTATAAGCAGATCTCCTTTATTCCCAAAATCATTCCTTTTCTCCTCAAGTAAGTATTCAAGCAGGAAGATCCATAGTCTGTTCCATGTGAGAATTAGAAAGTTTTATATTAAATTTATTTACTTATTTTTAGCAACCAGCTTCTCTGAAGCCGATTCCCAGAGAACAGGTTCTCTTTCTAACAGGCTGCTACTTCTCTAGCTTTCTTCTAATATCTCTAGAACAGAACTTTCCTTTTTTCATCTTTTGTAAACAGAGGCTTACATTTTTGTATGTATACACTATGGCATCCGTCTCAAAAGTTTTAGTAATAAAATCATACTGCTTAACAACATTTTCAAAAAGAATTTACATTCCTATATAGGGGAAGACATCATTAGTTTCCTTCACTTAAGGTGAGACTGAAGAGACCTCTGTAAATAGGTCAACTCAGAAAAAAATAGCGTATATTATATGCTTTTGTTAAAACATCAAGCCAAATGAATGGCAACAGAAAACAAAGTAAATAACATGCACTTAAACTTTCTGAAATCCAGACAGTAGATAAGTTTTGTCCACATTTCTATGAGGCTTTCAATTAAACAGCCCAGATTGTTACAATACAAACATTCACCTTTATCAAGAGAATTGCACTGCCCTTTAGATTCCTGTCAGTGCCTTCTTACAGCATGAGATCTTTCTTCAAACAAGAACGCAAGAAAGGACTATTTCCAGGGAAACTGAATGCTAATCTGAAGATATTTTCATCAAATATTGCTGGATTTCAATGAAGTATTTCATTGTCAAACAAATATCAAAAACACTCTTTGACAGCATCAAAGAATAAGGGAAATGCACATATTCATAAAACCATCTTCTCCCTGTTATATACATATTACAATACTTTTTAGAAACTTAATTCCATTTCCATTGGTAACTGGAACAGATTAACGGCGGTATTAAGCAGTGTACATTCTAGCTTTCAATTTGGGGGTGGAATTTTCTTGGTTTAAATCCATCCCTTACGTCACTCTTTCAAGTTTATATTGTAGGCTTGCCTTCTTCTCTTTAAATCCCATATTCTATCAATACCCAGAGTAACAGGTATAGGTAATCCTTGTTTGCCTATCATTCTGCATTAAACCTCATATGCACCAGTAATAAATTAGTTTACATTCAGACACCTGCCCACAAAATTCCAAAACATTACTAACTGGAAGCTGTTAAAGCTTAACCTAATGCTTGTCTTGACTATAACCAGTCTGTTGCAACTGACTTCCAAGCCTACAGGTTCTGGGTTGAGTCTAGTCAGTGTATCTAAGTTTGATTTAGAAGGTACATCCCAGAAAAAAAACAAACAAACCTCTCAACTCAGCACTTCCTCCAGATGCGACACCTTGCACCAACCACCCTAGACCCTAACCCTACGGGTTCCAGATGTTCCATGCCTCTGGTCACATACACACTTCTTCCACTGCTTCACCCAGTCTGTAGAGTCTCTGGACTTCTAATTCTTTTGGGAACAATATGACAGGAAAGCAAGAAATACAGGCTTACAGAAGTCCTGAGTTTCACCCTCCCCTAATTTGATTTTACTCCTTCTGAGAGTCTGGCATTTGTCAGCATTGACTGGGCAGTTTTTCCCCTTGCTTTCTTTTACACAAGCCATTCTGAGAAACGACAATGGTAAGAACCTGCTGCCAAGCACATTATCCATCTCCTGGCCATGTGCTCAGCTTGACCATTCCAGCACCCTTCCTAGTTGTTCCCCCCTAGTCCTCATACTCCTTTATAGAAAACCAAACAAACATTCATAATCCCTGAATCTCAGCTAGTTTCACTGAAACATTTGAGTTTGGCAGCTCCAGAGCGCAGTTTAAGGTTTTACCTTACTGGCCCTACAATGAGGTATCAAGCCCCTTTGCCAGACAAGGCAGCTGTTTGGAATGCAATTCTATGGGCTTGCCTTGGGCAAGTTTAGACAGGTATTCAACGCATAATACAAAGAGGAGTTCATAATTTGATACAGGCACATCCCACTCAGTCACAGATTGGATTAACAGTGCTCCCATTTTCACTGTTCTATTGGTATTATTTGATGCAAATACCTAAACAAAAAAAAAAACCTCTCCTTTTTATATTAGCTATATTACCTACTTACAAATAAGGACGAAGAATTTTCCCTGGAAGGGCAGTGTAGTAAGCCATAACCAAGTAGGCCTGTGTCTTTTTTAACAGAGCTCAGATGAAGCAAAAACTACAAGCAAGTAAAATCAGCACTGCAGTTCACTCAGGTTTGAACTGTGACAACCTTTAGTGAACCACTGCTTTTTTATCATCTTTTTCCTCTTGGTGTCTTTTACAGAATGACAGATTCAAGAGAAAAACAGCTGACAAATACTGCAGGTGGTATATTTAACATTCAAATCAGCCATTGAAGTTTACCATATGAAAACACTTCTGCTTCTTCAAACAGTATGGTTTTTATTATCATAATAACCCCAAACCTCTTATTCTTCAACTTCTGCCTTTTTTTAAGGAGCACCTGGCAACTAGAAAAAGAAACTCCATTTTCATCTGAAAAACTGTTTACCTACTACAGGTACAAGTCATCCTTAGCATTAGGAGTACAATTATTCAGTATGGTTACA